TCTTTGGACTCATCTCTTGCTCGAAAAGTACAAGATGGTTGACCAATGTCCGGATTCAATTTCGAGAACCAACTATACCCTCTCTGGCGAGCTCTAGCAACATATTGGAAGGATCTCCAAGTGGGGATTTCTTGGTCTGTAGGTAATGGCGTGTCTATTCGACCTCTCAAAGATATTTGGGTACCTTCGCTCTGCTTGTTGAGCGAGCATGTGGTGAATGCTGAATTCTTTTCACTAATAATCGTGGGGAATGGGATTATGGTAAACTCTCTCGGACTTTTACTCATAAGACGGTAATGCACATTCTCAGTATTAATTGTCCTAACAGATCGGCAGGTGAGGATCAAATTATTTGGCGCTGGAATCGTAAGCATAATTTTTCTGTCGACAGCACTTGCATTCATCTCAGTAATGTTGCTTGGGATCCGAAAGATACATTATGAAAAGTCCTTTGGAAAATTCAAATCCTTCAATGGTTAAGACTATTCTTGTGGGTTGCTTATAGGAATCGCCTAATGAACCAACTTGGAGAGGTGTCGTCGATCTATAGGTTCTTCCCCCTTTCGCAGGTTCTGTTCTTCAGTTGAAGAATCTTTGATTCACATCCTGCGTGATTGTAAGGAGATGTGGACTGTATGACACCGTTTTCTCCCGCCTAATCTCTTCCATTCTTTCTTTAACATGTCTTTGTAGGAATGGTTTCGGGATTGTCTCCTATCAAACGCTACTGTTACAAGCTCGAAGCTTCATTGGCCAACTCTTTTCTCTTCAATAATTTGGCAGCTCTGGAAGGCGAAGAATGATTACGTCTTCAACAGCTCAAAAGTCTTCACTGCCGGTATCTTAAGCAAAGGGATTACTTGGGCCAGATATTATCATGTTAGTCATGTATCTCCGATATCTCTTGTTGCACTTCAACAACCCGCCAAATGAATGAGACCGAAACCAATATGGCTTTGCTTGAATGTCGATGCTGCCATCTCTTCAACGACAGGTATAGGCTCAGTTGGTGGCCTGGATCACATAGGTGTTTGGATCCATGGCTTTCAGAAACCTATTGGGATAATTTCTACAATTCAAGCCGAACTTTGGGCGATTCTCATTGGTCTTCAATGTGCCCAAAAGGAAGGTTTTGAAATGGTTCAGATTCAATCCGATTGTGCTGAAGTTGTTGACATAGTGAATAATCTGAATGCTATTAGATGTAGCGCTAGGGCTACAGACGTTGTTTGGACCCCTCGAGAATGCAATAAACCAGTAGACTACCTTGCCAGAACTGCCACGCCTCATTTCCTGGAGCTGATTTGCCTATCCCTCCCTCCGGCCGAAGTGCTCTTCCTGTTGGAACAAGACTACGTTGATGCTCCTTTGTTGCAATAGTTTTGTAGCTTCCACTTTTCAATTCGAAAAAATATATACTTAAATAGTTAATATATTTATACTTATAAGAGGAATGATTATAAATAGTATAAACATTATATAAAAATAAATATTCATACTATATAATTATTAAAAAAAACTATTAAAAACACCATAGGTCAATCTAATTATGAAAGCAATAATATATGGTTAGAAATTAAAATTGACACCTTTGTAATAAGCATCACATGTGAATCTTGGCATTCAATGGACCAAATCCTATAAATCACATGAAACTTGATACATGCAAAACAAAGGGATTGAAGTTCAGATTTTCAAACTTTCTAAGATATAAAGTCAAAATGCCCAAAAGAAATTGACAACTCTTCGTAATATATTTAATCCTTTAATATTTATACATCGTCACAATTTAACAAGAATAACAATAAAGTGTAATCTAAGCATAATAAAACACAATTTGACCCACAAATATTCGATTAAGAACAGCTTATATCCCCACAAATAGAGATGGGCATTTAAACCCGACCCGACCTGATCGGGTCGGATTTTTCTTTAAAAAATCGGATTCGGGTTGGGTTCGGATTTAGGGTGAAAAAATCCGACCCTACCCGAAACTAAATCCGAACCCGACCCGAAAATATATATAATTTTGCCCTATATATTTAGGGATAATTATAATAATATCCCTCTCTATATAATTTTTTTTAATTAAGTCACTATTTTTATTGAATAAAAATAATTTTTTATCATTTCGGCTCGGGTCGGGTCAGGTCGGATTTCTATGACATATATTCGGGTCGAGTCGGGTCGGTAAAACCTTGTTTTGATCGGGTCGGATAAAACCTTATTTTGGTCGAGTCGGGTCGGGTCTCGAGTGAAGGCTCTCTTGTTCTCGGGTCGGGTTGGGTGGACCAAAAACCCGATCCAACCCGACCCATACCCATCCCTACCCACTAAATCCCATGGAACTCCACAATTACTACAATATTGAAGAAAACCCATAATTTTGATTGTATAGTTGTCTTTCTTTTGGGTAGCCATAATCTTTTATTATACCAAAACACATGTAAGACAAGAGTTTTGCCTAAATATATGCAATGTGAGTGTTGGCCGCAAACAATGGGACAATTTTCTAGTAGGTTTAAGGGTAATCGTCGTTTGAGATTTACGGTAATTAAGAAATATCTAAACATGCATAGAGAAGGAATCATCTAAACTAAACAAATACTTATACGTCGAGGGATCGTCTAATTGGGTGACCAACCGGAATTTCTAAACAAATACTTACAAATCAAACATGAATGAAATGTAAAAACAAATACAAGTATATCCCCTTGTATTTATTTTTTATAATTTTAATTTATAATAATTAAATACGAAAATTAAAATATGTGGCAAGAGTAAAAATTAAGGCCATAAGTTTATTCCATTTTATTGGTGATGGCTCGGACATCAAGCCAGGCCATTTGGGTACAGTTCGTCTGCTTGCGAATATGAAAAGAATAATACATCAAAAAAGTAATGGTCCATGGTTAAATTATTTGATTTGGTTCGTCTTCCACCTGTGACCTAGATGTTTAGCCACGTGGAATTTCCTCGGATGCCTTTGAGATCCGGTCTAAAATAATGCAAAAAGAAAAATCTGCCAAGCCGTGTGCTAGAAGTAGTCGTAGATCTATACACACATATTTGGTATGATACATGTATAAATATGTTATATTAATACCATTAATAATATTTATATTTTATTAATAAATAATAGATACTTATAATCATCAAAGATAAAAAAAATCATAATTAAAGAGATAAATTAATGTTTGTACCTATTTTTTTTTAATAATAGCAATTGTATTTTATTAACAATGGAAGCAATCAAAATTATATCGTATCAGAATAAAGATATAAATTTGGAGACAACAGTCACCAAAATACTCAAATAAAAGTAAATAATAAACCTAAAAATACGAAAAAAAATTAAAATCTTCCATTTAGAATGATGACCAATATCAAAACCCAATAGTTTTCGTATAAGCTCATTGTCTCTGTCGAATGAGACGTTTGACGAAGTAATAAAGGAGTGGATTGTGAACCAAATAATCTGGCAGGTTACTTCGCTATACAATTTTAATTACATCGACAAATAATATTTTACCAAAAGAGGGGATCTGACTATGCGTGATGACCTACTAACCAATCAAAAAATAAATGTGGTGATGATTTTTGTGTGAGAACCAAAACGACCGTAAAGGTATGCCGAAAATGTATCGAAAAATATGAGGATCGTGCTAGAAGAATAGAGAAAAATCATATCACAAGGGCATATATATTTATTCAAAATTAAAAACACTCAAGAAAAAAAATAAAGACACAATATAAAAAATAAGAGAACTAATATTCCCGACGGTCGGTAATCAACATTAAAATTGGTGTCGTTGCCGGCTAAACAAAGATCAAAGACGAATACGATATGAAAATATTAAAAAATTAGGTTGAGAGAAAAAAAGAGACGACTATATTCGCAGTATGTAACTCAGTGATTATAATGAGAGTGTTATTTTTTAATTTATTTAATTATATTTTTATCATTTCTTGTGTGATCCTATCTTATTCTTTTTTTTATTAAACCTATCTTATTCCTTAATAATTACTTGATCCATTTTTTTCCTTAAGTATTTATTATTCGTTAAAATCTATATGATATTTATTATCTTTTTGATTCTTATGATGAATTCTACTTATAATTTCCTATTTCCTTTAAATTTTACGTTGTGAAAAAAATTAAATCTTAAAATAATCAAATATATTTATTTTTAAATTGTAGAGATATAAGAATAATTAACTATTTGATATAATAATTTCATAATATCTTTTAATTTTGGGTAAATTAATTGTTTAGTATATCCATTTTAGTAACTAATTTTTTTATTTTTTTAAATTATACGTAATATTTAGTTTTTGTTTACCCATGTTAAAAACTCGAAGTTAAGTTTTAAAAAAATTTCTAAAAAATTAGGAACTGAAATGGACCAAAATTAATAGTTTATGTATTAAATGCGTTAAACTTTTAATAGCGAGATACTAAAAAGAAACAAAAATTAAACATTAGGTATGATTTTGAAAAAAAATTAAAAAGTTTAGATACTAAAACATACCAAAACTGATAATTTAAGTACTAAATACGTAGTTTAACTTTTAATTTTACAAGTATGTTTAAAAAATTATTGTGTATATATAATTTGTTAATTTATATTTAGAAAGATTATAAAATTGAAAAATAACGATTAATAAATAAATAAAATTGTAAGTTTAAAATATATAATTTTATACGAAAAGTATTAAATGAAAAAATTATATCCGAAGTGGCTTAGTTTCGTATTTAAGGAGTAGAAATCTAGCAACGTCATTCTGTAAACCCACCACCACTAATCAAGCAAAACTAAACCCGCGTCCTGGTACGCGCCAAAAGGCACCGTATCTTTCCGAACTATACGTTGACTTTATAAATATACGGTGATACATATAAACGTACCTTTATACGTATCTGAGATACGTCTATTTCTCCATTTCCAGATACCACTATACAAGCAAAGGTTAAAAAAACATAGGAAAACACACTCTGTCGATCCTCTCTCTGCTCAGCTTTTGCTCTTTGTTTTGTTTTTGTGTGTTTATTTTTTTATTTCGATTTCACTTCAAAAGAAGAAATTTTTTTTAGCCAACTAATTTGCGAACTTTTTTTGGTTGTTTATAAAGTGGGAATTTTGTGATTTTTCTTTTTGTTGGTTTTTGGGATGCTGATGGGAGAGGTCTGAGTTTGAGAGAGTGATGAAGGTGACGGGGAAAGTTAGTTTACGCGCCGCATTATCGGGTAGGATTCCGAAGGACGCGGATCTCAAGCCGGCGACGAAGCGGAAGACACGGAACAGGAGGTGGAAACGGGTCGTTGGTACGCCGGTTGTGGGGAGGCGGAGTAGGCCGGAGACGCCTTTGATGGAATGGAAAGTGGAGGAGAAAGAGAAAGAGAAAGAGAAAGGTCGTGGAGTTGAAGAGGAGCACGCGGAGGAGGAGGAAGTCGAGGAGGATGGCTGCAGGAGAGGTGGTGGTCGTGGAAGTCGGAGGCAAGGTGTTTCGAAAGTGTCCGCGAGGAAGCTTGCAGCTGGATTGAGGCGGTTGCAGTTGCAGGAGACGGTGGCGCCCGGTGGAGCAGGCAGGAGCGACTGGTTAGGGTTCAAGGTTGGAATTTTTAACCTTTTCCCCCATGATCTGTTCTTTTATGCTCTTTTTCCCATCAGTTTATAGACTATTTGTATTAATGAGAATAAGGTAATCGAGTTCAAGAACTGTTAATTTCTTGCTTATATTTGAAGCTATAGCAACTGATGCTGAAAAGAATCTGATCTTTACAATGCCACCATTGTTTTGTTTATAATGCTTTACATTTCCCTTGCATGTCTAACAAAGAAGTGAACCTTTCACAACTTGCTAAATGTAATCGATTCGAATGATTTCGTACACGAAAGTTTCCTTTTCAATGCATTTATCATGTTTTCAGTTTGTCATCATTGTATGCTTTGTTATAGATTTGTTTTCCTAATCATGAGAGGCGTTTTGTGAGCATGGTTTGATAGGTTTTCTATGGATATTTTCTCGAGAAAGGGCTATGCATTCGCTGGTATTACGGGTTTGCTTGATTCACAACAAATGCATTCAATCATCTGTTTGAATTGCTTCTGAAAGTTGTGCTGCCTAATTAGTCTTTCTTAACAGTTCACACTCTTTTCCATCTTGAACGAACAATTGTATCTTAATTGTTATGAAATTTAAATCATGATTCTGGACATTTCAAGCTCATTACTTTATGATTTACTGCAGTCTGGTAAAGATTTTATGGGTGTTCCATACCTTTATCATCAGAAGGACAAAAATCATGGCTTAGAGGATCCATTACAGAGCCCAAGTTCGGTCTCTGGCGAAAAGAACGGCCTCCTGCGTAAGGTATGCTTGCATCCGTGAGCTACATAACCAAATCTTGAACTTTTAATTACCTGGTCAATAAGGAAATGATGAATGGAACTCACATAGGAAACCAAGTCTTTTGTCATTTCATTCGTAACACAGCACATGTGTCGTGCTACGCGTGGGACTCACATTTGGTGATTTCTTTTAGATGGGGTTTATTATGTTCCATTCTGGTGATTCTGTAAAAGAAGAATCAGTTGAATCAGTTGTTTTTCACTATATTTTCGGACGTTTTCGTGTGCTCGAGCGATTTATTATTAATCTCCCTATTAGAACATTTTATGTTCATTTCCTATCCGAGACTCTTGACAAGTCTAGAAAAACTAGAAGGGAAAAAACTAGAATTACAGGCCACTTCCATTGAATGCATGAACCGTGATTATATAAAGATGAGTGGCAATAATCACTTCAACTCTTGGATAAACTAGGGAAATCGCTCGAAAAAGGATATTTGTAAGAAAAATTAGGATAAACATACTTGTAGCTTGCTTAATACGTATGAAAACGAAGACTGCTGCATGCTCTGCATATTGATTTCCTTGCTCTTCTGATCTTATCCTGCTTTTTTCCTTCTTAAGATCGAGCCTTCAATTCAATTTTCAAACTCTGCAATGGAGGGAGCAACAAAGTGGGACCCTGTCTGCTTAAAAACAACGGATGAGGCACGGAAAATTTACAACCACATGAAGCGTATTGACCAACAAGTAAGTGCTGTGTCAATTGTTTCTACCCTTGAAGCTGAGCTAGCACAGGCTCGAACTCACATTGAGGAGCTTGAGACTGAGCACCGGTCCTCGAAGAAGAAACTTGAGCACTTCCTGAGGAAGGTTAGCGAGGAAAGAGCTACATGGCGGAGTAGAGAACATGAGAAGATACGTGCCTTTGTTGAGGATGTCAAAGCTGACTTGAATCGAGAAAAGAAAAAACGCCAGAGGCTTGAAATTGTTAATTCCAAAGTGGTGAATGAGTTGGCTGCTGCCAAGTTATCGGCAAAGCAATATATGCAGGATTATGAAAAGGAAAGAAAGGCCAGAGAACTAATTGAAGAAGTATGCGACGAGCTTGCTAAGGAAATTGGAGAAGACAAGGCTGAAGCGGAGGAAATTAAGAGAGATTCCATGAAGCTTCGGGAGGAAGTCGATGAGGAAAGAAAAATGTTGCAGATGGCTGAGGTCTGGCGTGAAGAACGTGTTAAGATGAAGCTCATTGATGCGAAGGTAGCACTTGAAGAGAGGTATTCACAAATGAACAAGCTTATAGCTGATTTGGAAACTTTTCTAAGGTCAAGAACTGGAAATCTTGATGTGAAAGACTTGCGAGAAGTGGAATCACTAAGACAGGCTGCTCTGTCAGTTAACGTTGAAGAAATCAAGGAATTTACATATGAGCCCGCAAACCCGGATGACATATTTGCTGATTTCGAAGATGTGTTAGCTGAAGCAAACGAAAGGGAAATTGAACAATGTACTGCATATAGTCCTGCCAGCCATGCCTCAAAAGTTCATACAGTGAGTCCTGAGATGAAAATGATGAAGAAAGACAGCACGGCTAGACATTCAAACGCACTATATAATCAGAATGATGAGATAGAGGAAGATGAGAGTGGGTGGGAAACTGTCAGCCCTTTCGAGGATCAGGGTTCAAGTTATTCACCCGATGAAAGTGCTGCATCTGCAAGCAAGAATCACCAGGACAGCAATTTCTCAGGTAGTGGAACTGAATGGGAAGGAAATGCATATGGAGATACCCCAAACACAGAGATTAGCGAAGTTTGCTCATTGCCTGCTAGGAAGTCGAAGGTGTCGTCCATAGCAAGGCTTTGGAGGTCATGCCCGAACAACGGAGACAATTACAAGATAGTCTCCGTAGAAGGAGCTCATGGCCGGCTTTCAAATGGAAGAACATCTATTGGGAGTTTTGTATCCCCTGATCGAGGATCGGGTAAAGGTGGCTTCAGTCCCTCGGCGGGACAGTGGAGTTCACCCGACTCTAGTCATTCACACATAATGAAAGGGATGAAAGGATGCATGGACTGGCCTCGTGGCGCACAGAAGAACAGTTTGAAGGCAAGACTTTTGGAGGCAAGGATGGAAAGCCAAAAGGTCCAACTACGGCATGTTCTTAAACAGAAGATTTAGAAGTTGATGGTGATTTCAACAGAGGTTTCCACCTGAGAGAACATATTCGTCATACTCAAGGCACCTTCTGCTGCTAGTTTGGAATTAGTTAAAAGTTAAAGGAGAATCTCAATAGAAAACACCCGGTTGGTCCCATAGATTATCTGATTTTCCGGTTATCGAGTTCTTACCCCTAGAGTCGGGTGATGTTCCTCATGAAACAGGTTAGTTGGCTCATCTTCTTTTATCCGTAGCTTGTAATTCTACATGGTGACATTGCCATTCTCTATGTTATAAAGCAATACGTGCCATTTGTATTGTATCACTCGAGGTTATCAAGGAAAACATGTTCATGGTAGACTGAAATAATATCATTTCCCTCTGTAATTTTTGTCTTATATATGTATGTGCGCATGTTTATATTTCGCTCTTTTATGCCCTAATTGATAAAATGGACCACAATGGTAACCTCGATTGATTGGCTTATTTTAATTTATCTATCGATATCGCCTCTTTCTCTCAAAGGTGTAACGATGAGTATCTAATAAACAACTTCCTTTATTATAAGGCTAAGATCTTTGCCTTTCAAGGGATGCTTGGTTGCCAATGCCTGCAAATACCATTTACTAAGCTAATGTCCCATTTTTGACATTCCGGAAACGGGGTTTGTGTTTCCAGGTTGAATCATTCATTGATGGCATGATCAAGGTTGAAACTTTTGGAAATTATACCCAAGTTATCAAGCATGAAAACAACAGAATGATCTCACTATTATGATCTTTTTATCATTCCATGAATGTAACTGAATGTTTTTCATTGCTATATGATATAACAAGAAACCGGTAAATATTTTTCACCTCGCAAAACATCGATCCTACAACAACAGTTCCCAAAATAAACTGGAACAACAACATTTGGTTTTCTGAGAATCAGATGAGATGATTTATCAACCAAATGATGCAAGTTTTTTTTTTAATAGAAATTATACAAGTTCAATGGACAAAGTAGGTATAACGTGGAGCTGAGTTAATAAAACGACATTAACCTCTCCGGTTTTTCTATCATCTATATTCTTGAAAGTTCACATGGCCTGTTGCTTGTGCATGCTCAACAGCCTCCTAAACATTTGCACGGAACTACGTGAGAAGCATCGTATTTAAAAGAAAATAAAGTGAAATCAAATGCAAAATAGTGAGCTTTATAAACGAGGGAGAAAATGACCTTTTGGCCGACCACGCCAATTTGGCAAACACCGCATCGCAAAGTGAAGTTGGCAGTGTCGGTGTAGCTTCTCTTCCTAAACAGCAAGGACATGAAATTTAGCCAAAATCAGTTATGGTCTAATGCTCATCAGTCATCACTCGAAAAGGTCAGTTAAAGGATAAAATGGGGATTATTCGAACATTGTCTCGAAAAACAAATATAATATATTCAATACTTTAAAATGCTACCTTTGTTGATCCTTAACCAGATTCAATGCAAGACCTTCCACTGGTCCGATGGTTCTATCCTTCCGTACAGCAAATATAGTTTGATCAAACTCCTCGGGAGCACCCTCAAACGGAGACATCTGTTGATACCAACCCCAAAAACCAGAAAACATAAGCATACAAAATAGAATGGCAGCAACAAGAAGTAAAGATGAAGACATTGCGAAAGAAAAAGAACACAATCAGCATCTGCGATGCCCTAATTAATGGTCATAATATCGTAAAGATTCTCTCAAATTTTCCTTTATATCAATTTATTATCAGCTAATGCCTTCTTAGTGTTATTCCTCTGGTTTTAAAGGTGACAATGACAGCCTCAGAAAATAATAAATTGATCATGAAACAACATACGGCCAATGCATCATAGTGGAGACCGTCATAGATCAGCATGACTCTTTCAGAGTAGTTCTTTTCCTGTCATGAAGGTCGAAGTAAGAAAGGGGGGTGTAAGCATCAATAACGACTAGAGATAGAGACAAAAAAGAGTGACAACATCAGCAGTTCTAACCTGACCATACAAATCACAACGCGTTGTCTGAATATCGTATGCTGCGATTTCCCGTCCATAATAATCTGCTAATATTGAAAGCTCAATGGCGCCTTCAAAACAGGAAATAACATACCAAGGCCAGTAGCCAATTAATAAAATAACATGAAGACTGTCCTTGTAATAAATAGATTCCGATAAAATTAATTAATATTAGAATGGACATGGAAAGATGAGGGGGGAGTTCTACTAACCTCCCCACTTTTCTGAGTCAAGAATCCATGAACAATACTCTGCATTTGGCTTTCCAAGAAACACCTCAGAATATTTCGTTGGGTCACTTGCCACTGTTGCCTCTATAACCTTCAAACAGTCATCGATCACACTAGGTTACGAAAACAAAATTGCATTAAAATGGTAAGGATAAATGGCCTTATATTGACGCTTAATGTATGCTCATAGATTTCCACCTTCAAGCTAAAACACATTGATTGTTCCATCTACTATGGCATTCCAGATGAATGCAGCATATATAGCAGTGATAATGACTCAATAACGAAGCATGTCATACCTCTCGTAGAGCCATCAGAGATTACAGTAGTAATATAACGCGAACATAGCAAAGCACGGACTTCATTTAAAATACCAAACAAGCTATATACGGTAATGTTAGTAACACGGTAATCTTGAACATTTTCCATTGAAGCCCCAGCTGTATGGATTTGCATACCTACATATAAAGCTTCCTATTTTGTAACCATTCTACCTACAGATCGAAGTCTAAATACTAGAATTGACTAGGTAACATAAACTGCATAAAAAGTTTCAACATGTCTTGAATCACCAGGCAAACATAAAATAACATAATGACCAAAACAAAGTGCTCCAACAAAAAAATAATAATGAGATAATGCAGATAAGAACCTGTCTCAATTCCGGAGCTTTGCTCTTGGCATGGTCCATAACATACCTACAAGTGAGGAAATGAAGAGCGACGATCTCAAGTAAACAATAATCACACCAATCAAACTAATAAACACTAGAAACTTAACAATCCAGTAGTTTAATGTGCTAACCCAACAGCATTGAAAAGGCAGCTGTTGTCCGAGGGAATAACCCTTCTAACAACAATACCTTCCATTCTCCAAATAATTATGCACCTAATAAAAAACACAAAATTGTCTTGCATCAATATATGATTAAATAATTGATAATGGAAATAGCTAAGCAATCGGTTATTTCTTCTATTAATCTAGCTAAATATAAGACAATATATGTTCAAAGATAAATCTCAATCATTTGAAATTGAACGCTCACGCTCACACCCTGTCATTCCTGGGGCTCGAATTCGAGACCTCAAGAAATAACGACAATTCCTTCTAAGGTCGTTCGGTTGGTGCAAACAATCAGTTCTTTAAATTCCAGGAATATATATATACTAATATAATCTAAATTAACTTTTCTTAAGCAATTAGCAATAAATATACGATATCTGAACAATTTAAACAAAAGAGATGAAAGGAAAAAATGGAGAAAAAAATCAAACTAAACAGCAAAAAAATGTAAAAGAAAAACCAAAACTTTGAACCTTCGACAAGGAATAATTCAATCAAAGAACAAGAGATGCTATCAACGAAATATAAAATCAACACAGACGGAGAAAACTACCAAAAAAACATAGAATGGTCAAAATTCAAAGAAATTAAATCACCTGAAATGCAATTCAAAGGAAATACAGAAGAACCGAATGTTATCACGAAAGAACAAATGCCCCCAGATCTAGAATCGACACCGACAATGATATAACTTTAAAATAAAGGGACTTCAAAAGATAAACAAATGGACCCCACGTGTATTCTTACTTTATGATACAAATTTCAAGATTATTATGTTAAATTCGTGGCTAATTGTAGTTTATTAGACTGAAATTAAAACAAAAATTTAATAATTTAATTTTTATTTAGTAATTAAAATAAAAATCAATCTAGTCATCTATCTAAATATGACCTAAATGGCTAAATGTGTCATCTCCACTTGTCCCTTGGCCCCACTTTTCAGGGAAATATCTAATGTTGGCTTTAAAATATCCATGATTTTATATAATGGTTTGTCAAACATATTATTTTTTTATCCTATCTTTATTTTAAATTAAACTAATAGAAATATGATAAAAGAATATTTTTTAATAGATAAAAGAATAATATTTGAATAGACTTCCAAGGGTGTTGTTTTATGGTTTAATTAACTATTAATTCGATTATCAATAACATCGATACTCAATCATTAATTATTGGATAAATTATGTGTTTAGTATTTAAACTATCAATTTTGATCATTTTTAATATTTAAACTTTCAATTTTTTTAAAATCATGCATAACATTTAATATTTTAATTTTTATTTCATTTTAGTACATCTTTATTAAAAAGTTAACGGTATTGTATTTTTATAGGTAAATTACATCATTCATCACTCAAATATCTTCTCACTCATATTCTGGTACTAAAATTTAAATTTAACTACTCAACTTTTAAATGACTAAAACGAAAATTGAGTAATTAATTTAGGGGTAATTTGAAAGTTAGGTAATTAAATTAAAAAAATAAACTTTAGTGACCAAAATAAGACTGAAAAGATAGTTGGGTGATAAATTATGCAACTTACACTTAAAAAGGTGCCGCTTGCAAAATACCGGTTAAGTTTTTAATCGTGTGATACTAAAACGAATCAAAACTAATAAGTTAGGTACTAAATATATAATTTACCCTTAGTTATTTATTATTTGATCGTATTACACATGGTACCCTAATTTCCAATAATCGAAATCGGGTATCCAAAAACGAAGAATAGAGATTGACTGCTCTGAGTACCCATAGATTTGCATAGCTCTGTACCATCATGTACTCGGTGGCAAATTTACGGGGACATTAGTTCATATGTTCCTAGGTTACCTGCTCCGTTTGATCCTCTACTTCCGGTCTGAAAAAATACCACATAGACACGACACGAAGGAACCTCGTTTATATTCCGGAACTCTACGACCACACCGGTGTGTTGATATGTACGCGACACACCGGCATTGGCACGGTCTGAAGGAGTAGTACCTTACCGGTTAGCTAGTAGTGGCAAGCCGACATCGATAGTCGGAACATTGATTGGTCTTAAACTACACCAAGTCATTTTCACACTGTTCTCTCTCAAATTTCCATCTTTGGTCTCTTTTTCTATGGTGTTTTGTTTGTGTTTTATGCATGTATATAGCCAGCTGAAGCTGTACTGGGGGAAAAAACCTGGAAAACAAGAGGTGTTGTAATTTATGAACCGAGAAGGATTCCGTGTTTGGTTTTCGATGTTCCCTAGATCGACCCTTCGGTTGGTGAAGCCCAAACCTGAAATCGCAAAATTGACTGAATAGGTTATCAGTGAATCGGATAAAATATTTAGCTCGTTAGGTCATCTTTAAAATTATTTTGAAATTTACGACAAATGTTATAATGCAAGAAAACCTATCACACCGACGTAATGGTTTTCTCCTGCATTGTAGTATTTGTCGTAGATCCCTATATAATTTGTTTGGTGTTGTATTGGGCTAAATAATTAACCCGCCTATAACGTTGGGTCAATTTTGCCGATTATTTCAGACAATGATTTTTAAAGGTTTGGGCTTAGAAATGGATTTGTTTGAATCTTAAATCCACAGTCCATTCTTTTCGCACTTCATTTATATTCTTGAAAATGATTTTCTTAAGGTTACTTTTTTTTTCATCAAAGAAGTAAAGTTTATTAGAGGTGGTCTAACTATGTTTAGATGATTATTCTAATCATTAAACTTTCAAAAATTATAAAATGATCATTACATTTATCGAAAATTATAAAATATTTAATAAATTGATCGAGCTTTTGCAATTTTTATAACATCATAATGACTATTTTGTAATAGTTTGATAAATATAATAATCATTTTATAACTTTTAGAGTGATCATTTGGGAAGCTATAGTTGAAGTTTGAATATTAGATTTGGCCGTCAATAAGAAGCTAAACGAGACAAGTTTTTTATCACTGCAACGGTGATTAGTCGACAGATTTATCTGTTTTGAAATGGCTTGTACAACACTTTTACAAGTGAATCAAAGCTCAAATGAAAGGTTGCAATGAAGTATAACTACAACATTTTCTTTTCATCTCTACCGCCATTCATTCTCATTCTCCAAATTTGTACGTTGGAACATCGAAGGAGAACCCAAAAAAAAACATTTTTGTTGTTCTTGGTGAATCAAAATTTTGACGTGATTTACAATTCCTGGTTAACATCATTAAAAACATGTTCTCTACACATGGGACAAGTGCCTTGTCGGCTTAGCCATTCATCTATGCAGTTCAAGTGGAAGACATGCCCGCATCTCGGAAGATTTCTCCCCATTTCTCCTTCCTTTAGACCCCGCAAGCAAATCGAGCAACAAGACTCCTCCATGGATTTGATCATCTCTCTCGATCGAAATTCGAACACCGGAAGCTTTCGAATTCGATTTGTAGACAAACCCTTTGCTCCATTCACGTCGTAAATGTCTGAGATTTCTCTATACGTTGATTCAACCGAGTTCATCTGAAATACAGAACCGAAATTAGAAAAAAGGAGAGAGAGAGAGAGGGGGGGGGGGGAGGGAAAAGGTTTGTTTGGTTACTGAGAAAGTTTACTCACTTGCCATTGGTAAGCTTTCAGCACTGCTGGACTAACCCACTCAACGAACACCTTCCCATTTACTAAGCTAACTAATAAAGCTACCTATAAAACAGCAAAAAATTAAAGAAGGGATGAAATAATGAATGCAATAATGGTGAAAATATGGTCATCTGGAAATTATTTTCTCAGGGGGCTTGAATTGGCAAATTCTACCCTCCATATATACTACCTTTGATAATGACTCCCCATCAACCAATGATTCCAGCAATTGAACGGCTGTGATTGCACCTGTAACAGCTCCGATTCCAGCTCCCCTCACAAACCCTGTTTCTGTCGTCTGCCCTTTCATCGCTCCAACCACAGTTCCCACCATGGATCCTCCTGTTTACATATTTCCATGTAAGCTGTAAAAAAAACTACAAATGCATTCATCGTATCTATATACGTGTATGCATATTTATATTATATACCTAGTGCAAAAATGCAGGTGAAAGTGGCAAAGAGGGTTCTCCTCAACACTCGAATGAAGGACTCGATTTGGAGGTCTTTCACGGCGGCGAAAACCCGGAAAGAGATGGCTCCGCCGTGCCTGAATGCTGCCTCGGTTGTGCATGAAAACCACTCCATTAACATTGGGAAATAGATCTGGGAAAAGAAATGCGGTGAATCTCTCGTTGTTTGAATGTGTATGGGAAATGAAAGAGGCTATTTGAGGGAGATGGGGGGGAGTTTGTAAAGCATTTATAGGGTCAAGAATGAAGGGCGGCATTTATGATGGGGGCTAAGCCTCGAAGCTAAACTAATGTATGCACGGATAATAATCAAGGGGGAACGTATATTAGATTCTCACCGTGACGCAACTAGCACATGTACATGATAGGTCTCATTCGAATCTGAATTCGAGTCTGAATATCAGTAATCTTTTAATGCAGTGATTTCATCATTTAGATGCATAGAATTATATAATTTCAAAAGTGTGAAATTATACTATTAGTATAAAATACGAAGAAAAACACTTAAATTAAATAAAAATTTAAAATTTTGAAGGGATGAGATTATCCAACACTCCCTCGATCCACCATTAATTGTACAATTATGAAATCCGTGTTTTTTATAAAATGAATACGATTTACTTTACAAAAATATATAAAGATAAAATTAAACTAATTATTAAAAAGTAGGATCATAAAAGAAAAGTGTTAAAAGATTACACCAAACAACTACAAATATTGAAGATATTCACGATAAAAGATAAACATCATCAACACTAACATTATAGATAAATGCAATAACGATGATGCATTAACAACCGATTGTATCACAATTTAAAAATGATTTATTTGAGATAATTGCGAAAGCTTGATTGATGAAATAAAAGAATTAGACCAAAAGTCTAAATCAAGAGTATATCAATAATATACTAATAACATTAGGAAAATGACCATCCAGCTCAGTTGGTAGAGCATAAGGTTCTTAATCTTGAGGTCGTGAGATCGAGTCCCACGGAGGGCATTTCATAATTCGGAGGTCTCTTACGGAAGCTGCTCTCAACTTAGTGTTGGTAGGTAACCTACTATCTTATCTCCCCCTTACCCCATACATATGGGAAAAAGGGACATCCATTTATACTAATAACATTAGGTTAGAAGACCTAACATCACAATAGATTAACTGAGTTTAGGGAATGATTGCATGATTTTGGTCATTTAGGCCTTTGATATATAATAAAGTTGCATTTTAGGCAGGATAATATTTTTAATTTGTGCACAACATTTGTCAACTCACAACCAGAATTAAGAACGCTTGAAATTAAATAAAAAAAAGTTTAAAAAATGAGGTTCAATTTCCCGAAGAATAGGCTCAAAAAAATGAGGGAAAAGTTTTCAATTGCAAATTAAGTCATCGAATTCTCAAATCCCTAAGCTTTTGTTCCAAAGGTCAATGAATAAATTAGGGCAAAACCCAATTGGACATTTGAGGAAGAACCCTGACAACTTGTCTGCAAACCCTAAGCAATTGGAAATGGAGATATTGGTTGTTCCCAAACCCTAAAAGGCAGTAGATTTCCATGTAATAAAAAGGGTGGCCTTAGCTTGTCAGTTGCCAAAAAAAAAAACAATGGGCACTAAAATTCCCAGAGAGAAAC